TTCCATGCCTTTTGGAGCTTACCAGTGCAACTGGCTATCGCACTTTATTTACTGTATAGAGAGGTTTGTTTTTCGTCTTTTTTGTACGAGTCGTACTATTGTCTTCTTGCTCGAAACAGAGAACTTAAAGGTCGGCTTGGCATTCCTTGCTGGAGTCGTTGCTGCACTAATCCTGATTCCTCTCAATAAATGCATCACGAATAGCATTGGACGAATGTCGGTGAAACTGATGCATTGTAAAGACCAGCGAGTAAAGGTATGTTCTTAAATTGAACTGTATGAAAAGTGGAGCTTTCTTTGTCAATCCCCTTCTCAGGTGCGCCATGCATACTTGATCCGTTCAGAATCGTAGTGGCTTTCAAGCGAATATTTAGTTTCTATAGTCTTGTTCGCCACGGATGCTCAGGCATTTTGTGGGCTGGGTTGGGCGCGGCGCCTGCCATTCTCCACCTTTTGTTGAATGGGAAAGTGACAATGACTGTTGGATATTGAGGTGGTGCTGCGTTATACTCAGGCCTCCTGACACGCCCCGGCATCCGCAGCGAACGAAGCTGTATAATAACTTGCGGAGGCCAGCCATGCAAGTCAGAGTTTCTTCAATACTACAAAGCCTAACATCAATTTCTCGGCCTCTAAGGGATGAAGGCGTCGTCAGCTCAAACGAGATTACGGATTCAACCCCTAGACTCCCACATGGTATATGAAGCGGCGCCGATTGCTGTTACACCTCCATCCCCTCCCCCAGCTATGAAAATATCATTATTAAGATGCCAAATGAGATCGATGTAACGCTACGGTATCCGCGGGAGCCGACGCGCACCCAAAGGGCCCACCGATTGGGGAAAGTGTGATAGTTGGTGCTGTCTCGGATCAGGCGTTCAATCGGGAAAAGTGTCTGCACAAGATAAAGATTCCGCCGCAGCGCGGCACAAACGCTGGAGAAGAAGAAGAAGAGGAATAAGTGTTCATACTGCTCACTTCACCCTGGTGTGCACCTATCCTCTCTTTCTAAACGCGGAAACGCGTAATATTTACTGCTGAAAAGCTATACAGATATCACTGCTTCCAGGTAGTTCGTGAAACAATGGAGGGCATCCGAGCTGTAAAATCATCTGCATGGGAGGCCTTCTTCGAGGAGAAAGATAAACAAACTCCGTGAAAAGGAGCCCTAATATTATTTTGAAAGTTTTTGTACCGCTTCCCCCGTCCTTTCATTTCACGGGTTTCCAACATTTTTCGTACTGATCTGGAATTATAGTGGTTTTTATTTTACAGATTCGCAAGTACCTTGACGCTGTCTGCGTGTATATGTGGGCTTCTGCTCCTCTATTAATCACCGTTTCGATCCTAACCACCTATACATTGGTATTTCAATGGAAGCTCACAGCAGCCAAAGTTTGTTCTTCTCCGCGTTCTCTCAGTTGTTTCCTTGTACTTTGGGGGGCAGTTCGACTTGGAGGGGCACTTTTGCTTGTTCCCAATGATTGTTGATGCGTTCCTGAAAAGTCACGACGCCTCAGAGCGAGACCTGGTATATTCTTGTACATTGCTTGCGATTCGTATTTCCTCAAAATTATTTGTCAATCCTTTTGATTTTATTTTTTGAAATTTTGCCTATTTATTTCTGTTTTCTTTTGTTCCATTTTCTTGTTTGAGGGCTTCGTTCACATTGACAGGAACTACAGAAAGAGCCAGCCGGCAAAGTGTAAAATGTACCCCCCCCCTCAAGCCGCATCAGCTCCTCTTTTACTACATAGCTGCAACTCGTTCCCTATTGGTCGTTTTTAGGTATTCACTTCTCTGGCCCTCGTCAACATTTTGATAATGCCTTTGAATGCGTTTCGCCGTTGCTTGAATGGCTATCGAAGCTTTGGTGTCATTGAGAAGGTTGCAGCGGTTTATCTTGAACAACATTGATGTTCACGATGTTTACACGCTTTCCGGAGGTGAGTCAGCTATTTTCAGACAGGAAAAACTACCGTACAGTAAGGGCACGTCGTACGTTGGGGACTCTAGCAGGGGGTCGTATTTGGTCGCTGGAGGAGAGGCTAGTATGTGCCTATGTGAGAAATGTTTTCGGTTATTGACTTTTCTTGGTTGTTTCCTGTTTCACGTTTGCTACTATGTAGCCCACCACGCCTCCCCTGCTCGGTGGCAGTTTTATTATTTGTAGCGGAGGGGCGGGGAACTCCGGAAAAAAATGTACAAAGTAGGGAGATCTAAGAGCCTCTAATTCAGATATAGACGGGGACGGTAGGTAGTATGGGGGATGGGAAGGAGGTGGTACCAGAGGAGGAAATTTTGAGGTGGATGGCGTATTTTACAAAATTTTTCCCCAACGGCAGGACGTGCCCTGCATAGAGTGCGCTCTGACGGAGCTTAGTTTGCTTTTTTTTCAGAGAAGGATACTTTGCTCTATGTAAAGGAGGGCAATTTCTTCTGGCGAGGTTCTAAACAGGCGATCACTGATGTATCTTTCAATGGCAAACGGGTGCGTCCGAAGCTATAATCCTTAACGCGATTTTATTTGAAGGCAACGCGCACAGTTGCAGGGGTGGGCGGTTGTTACCAGCGTCTTTGATGGAAGGGCTGTGAGAAGGCGGTTGGCCACACCTCACCCAGCTCTTCAATCAGTCACGTTGGCGAAAATCGCGCCTCCAGCGATCGTGCCTGATTCTTGACTCATTGCCTCGCTTTTCTGAAGGGAAAGGGGTCATTTTCATGAGTAACCGATACAATCGTAGTTTTTTAGGATCTTGCTTTCATATTTGCGTTTTTTTCTGATCGAATTCCTCTTTAAATTTTCCAGGGGAAGATTATTGGCATATCTGGCGATGTTGGAAGTGGAAAATCAACGTTGCTTCTGGGTGAGTGACTCTAGCTATTGCCTGATATGCTGAGAGAATAGGAAGAGGTACCCCTAATAAAGCGCTCAACTTCGAACCCCGCTTTTTGGAAGTAGAATTCCAACTTCACCGTTTTTTCACGGTCGACCTCAGCTCAGTTGCCCTTTGGTCCCCCAGTTTTTGCAGTTTGGTCACAACTTCGATTAAAAAGTAGACAGAACCCGGCCTGATTTTCGAATAACGGGGGCCGGGGCAGTGAAGCGTGATTTGTGCCATGTTCTCCAATCAATCACAAATTGAACTGTCTCTTTTTGATCAACTGATTTTTTTAGGACTTCTTGGTGAAACAAAGTCGTTAACGGAATGCATTGGAATTACACAAGATAGTGTTTCGAACGGAATCGGTTACGTTGGTCAGGAAAGGTGGCTGTATCGAGGTGATTTCAATGACGCATTTTGGCGACGCAACTTTGCTAGGATGGGGCATTTTGCTAGTTCCCATCTGTTGCCGATGCCACTTGTGGAGCTAGACAAGAGGAGCACCTCCAATTACGCTTGAAAAGTGTCTACAGATCTCACCATGATGTGTCACCGTTTATTAAAAACTAGCGATAGGAACTGGCGAAAGTGCAAAATGCCCCTCCCTAGCCGAACAGCGCCAACAGCGTTGATTGCTATGAAATTTGAATAAGGTGTGATATTTCACTTGCTATCAACGGGACGTTGCAGGCTCCATTCGTGAAAATATAACGGCTGGCAAGGATTTTGACCCTAAACTGTACGATACTGTTTTGAAAATTACTTGTCTTCAACGTGATATCAATGTAAGTAGTTTGTAAGGTTCGTGAGCTGTACTGGTTATCAACTTGTTTCTTTCAGCTAATGCCAGGAGGAGACCTTTATGAAATCTCTGACAATGGAGCGACTTTGAGTGGTGGGCAACGAACTCGAGTGGCTTTAGCTAGAGCGCTTTATCAGGTATCCAGTTCTCATTAGTATAACAGCTCTCAGATCACTGTGAAGGCTTCTCTTTCAGAGATAGAGAATGTAGGTGCTGTTCGGCTTGGAGGGGGCATTTTGCAGGTTCTCTAGTTCCTTTTTGTTAGTTTGCGTTAAACTAAGAGGTCCCACTTTGGTCAGACCTGTAAACTCCTGCGCAGCTTCGAAATTTTTCAGTGAGCCATTTTGTTAACGGGGATTTACAGGTCTTTGCAAGGTTACTTGTACGAGCTGAACTGAGTACCATTTAATGTCCCCACCAAGCCGAACTGCGCCGAGAATTCAACTGAAGTTTGAAGCAGTCACATTTAGGACAATTCAATGTATCTGCTTGATGAACCACTGGCGTCACTTGATCGAGGAGTAGCAGATTCCATTTGGGTGGAGGCGATCGAAAAGCGCCTCAGAGATCGGGGACGTCTCGTCATAGTAGCGACCCATGATAGAAGAGTTTTGGCCAGAACAGATGAGGTCATCGTGTTGGGAACAGACGGGAAGGTAGTAAAGAAAGGTTCGCGCATCGCTATTTTTTCCTTGACTGCTACGTTTTTTTTGTTGTTTGACGGGGAAGGTGAGAATGTTCTCATTGAGAACAGCTTGTACCCCTCAAAAGCTGAATATTTCTCGAACACGAGGTGGAATCTCATGTCTCTTATAGCCACCCAATACCCTACACGCACGCCACAACGACGCTACACGCCATACGGCCAGCCATACGCTTGACTTCAGTCGCTGAGCTGACTGTATGGCTTGCTTGTGGCGTAAGCGTTGCGTACGAAGACATAGGCAGCGTTCAGATTTCGCGGTAATCTGTACACTACACTGCAACAGCAGTGCAATGCTATAGAGGGTAGCACAACCTTATCGATTGCTGTCCTATGTTACAGCGCATCGACGCACGTCATCGCGAAGTCTGGCCGCTGTCATTAGAAGCACAAGCCGCTACATTATTGAAGCCGCTTCATCACTGCGCATTTTTTAATGGCGAGAGGGCTAAGCTCCGCAGCTGCCCTTTGCACACGAAAAAGTCCCCCTCTAAGGCAACAGCACAGTGCGCCTTCAGGCTCCAACACATCCGATTATAGGAACCCCCTCCGAAGTCATTGGTAGTGACGTTGAAGTATTTGGAGAAGACGAAAACGATAACGGCCTCGGTTCGGAAGAGCTCGAACGCATCGTACTCCAGGAAGAAGAGAGGCAGGTGAGTCGTGGTTTTGGCAACCTGATATCATAATTTGTAGTGAATTCCTTCCGTTACTTTCAAGCTGAAACTCACCTGGTGGTGGTAGAGATGGAAATGTTGCGCTGCCGACGTCACGCATTGGACATTTTTCTGCTTCTGCAGCGTTTGTATCACACTGCAGCGAGATCCGTGACTCGGTTTTTGTGACGCCACTTCTCCCAACTGGGTGTCTGGATGCCACTTAGCTTCAAGTCAGCTTTTTCAACGTCTCGAATCTCAGCGCTATTTGGTAAGTCCGGCTGCCGCTTACCGAGCACCTCGAGCTCTCGAACTGAAGACCAGGCTCTGAGCGGGTTACGTTTTGCAACGGTGACAAACGCAGTAGATCCACTGAACTTTTCTCAGTTGATAAAATGCGCGAAGATCGTCTTTAATGGTATGGCTATGCATTTAGCGCGAAAGCTGACACCATTCTGAGGCTGATCCTCAGGTCGAAAAGCTTGAATTCGGCTTCAGGGGCGTCCCAAGGAGCGCTGGCTGGGCTTGAAGATAGATGGCATCCATGCCATTTATTCAGCGAAGAAGGAATAGCGGTCACAAATCTCGAAGGGCGGATCCCGTTGCCAAGGGCAGAAACGCTGAAGAAGAAGAAATTCCACCTTTCCTGCATAAGATCTTACTCATATTCCAGCGAGATTTCCCTGGTCATCTTTGGCAGAGATCTTTCAGGTGGGGCAGGGGTCAAATGTAAAAGTTTGTCGAGCTATGACAAAAAAAATGAAGAAATGACGCTCCAGTATCACCAGTACCACTTCCTGAATCTGGCGGTGTTTACAGGTCATTTACCGGAATTTACTGGACTTGCACGGTGAGACGTGGTTGTGGGAAGACGAAGGAAAGAGAGGAAAGAGCAAAGACACGTTGAAAAAGTTCACAGATATGCCCACAGCGCTTCCTTTAACCGCCCGCTCCAAGGCTACTGAGGCCGAAAAAATTTCTCATTGCTGTAGCGTCCTACCGCCACGTTTGAGGATGTTTGCCATGGAAGCTCTCCTGTACTGACACGCGCTGCAATCGCTCGGGTCGAAAAATTTCTACCAGTCATGCTTCCATTGTTTGGCACGAAAGTCTTATTCATGGCGTATCCCACATCTTTCGAGAGAGTGGGCACGATGGCATGGGGGCAAGGACAGCTTACTGTAAATGTCACTGGTGAAAGGGCCGCGAGGTGAAACGTGCGGCGTTCTGGCACAGTCTTACTCCAACTCTTCCACAAGCTGACGTGGCAGTGACCGGCGCCTCCAGACAATCGCCCCCGCCTTCACTTATTCGAATAATTTTTAGGTGGGCAAGAGTGAAAGCAATCGGTTGGCTCATACGTACATTTGCTAGCCACTATGGAATTGCTCCTGACATACTTCATAGCTGATGCTCGTTATGTCTGATGTCATGCTTTTCTAAAAAAATGCGGCAGATTGGTGGCTGAGCCGATGGACAAAGGACCAGACAAACTTTACCCAGTAAGAGTGCCTGCACCCTGCATTTAGGGTTATGCGCATCCCAGGGAACTACTCATTTCAGCGTGCTTACCGACAGTCAGCAGGATCGTTCCGTTCACTTCCTCATCATCTATGGTGCGATAGCAACGGCGAATACGATATTTACTCTGATACGAGCATTTTTGTTCGCTTACGGAGGCATCAGAGCTGCGAAACATCTTCATTCGAATCTGCTTCATAGACTGCTGAAGGTCTGGTTTACTGCAGTTTTTGCTGTACAATTTTCAATCCAAGATTTTGCCCCTCAGGCGTCATCGTCGTGGTGGGACCGCACCCCGTCAGGACGTGTTATCAACCGTATTTGCTCCGATATATACACTTGCGATGACAATTTGCCATTCCAGGTAAGGCTAAACCTTAGATTTCTCCTTCCGAGATTGACTTGCATCCACACTATAATTTGCTGAGTTCCTTTGTTTATTTGTTTGTTGGTTTGTTTGTCTGGAAATTAGGTTCCAGCTGAAGAACAACTTGAGAGGTCCGGTAAGGATTGGGATGAGTAGGGCATGAAACGAGATGTACAAAGCACTTATGACCTGTGCTAATCCGGACCATAGTGGGCGGGCATGCACCGAAAGTGAGCGGTGCCACGGACAAAAATTCATAACTGGGTTCCAGAGCAAGCAAGAGATGGAGGAAAAGTGGGCTAAGGTCAGAGGGGTGACAAGCTAAGTGGAGGAGACACACCCGAAAAGGGCGGGGCGTGCTTGAGATGGGTGGGCTTTCCAACGAATTCCGCTCGCTCCTTGGAAGAGTTTAAAGATCGGAGAAGAGCAGAGGAAAAAAGAGGAACATCTGGCGAGAGCTGAGCGTGTCCGTGGTCTTTTCAGTTCCAAAGTACCCTCTAGCATAAGGTACTCTTTTCGAAAAGTTGCAGTTAGGTTCCAGAGCAGTTCAAGGAAAAGTGGATTAATCTCAACAAAGGGTCAGCGGTAGAGGACAGGAACTCATACCAGCTGGAGGCGGGGCGTGCGCCGAGGCGGGTGGAGCTAATTCGAAAATCCAAGAATC